ATGCCTTAATTTAAGTCAGAGATCCCACTTTAAATTACACTATTTCAATTGCCATGCTGTGATATCAGTTCATAACTCCCACTGGGAAGTTCCATCAGCTGAGGGAGGTTTTCTTCCGCTGACTGTAGCTCTTGCAGCATGTGGAGTTTACCTGGAACCTGACTGCATTATTAATGAAGTTCGCTGCTGGGTTACTTTTTGCAACAGTGATTCTCATTGGCACCACACATCCTCTCTCGTCTCAACACACTGTCACTTATCATTTGATGCAATGTTCTTGCAGCGAGCGTGGCAACATAAATTACCTTTAAGCATCTTGCTAATTAGCATCAATGCACTTATTAAATGAGACTCAAGAACAGACAGCTCTTGAACCCTTAAGCTACTCTTTTGTACACGGGTTTTCTATAAAAGATTTGGTTCATTTCCAAATTTATTATTGGCATCTTCGATCCATCAACACTTGCATCACCACCAAACTGGAAGCAATAGACGTACACTCAAAGTTAGAAAGCAGCTCAGAAATATTTGGGACAGAGGTTGCCATCCTACATTTACCAAGACACTGGAAACCTCCTGCTCAGATCACTGTAAACAACCAGAACACTGTCTCCTAGAAATTGAAGCCTTGGGCTCACTAGGCCTAGCTATGCTACAGCAATTTAAAAAATAAACCTTGTTTTGATTGAAAATCAATAGATGGATAACTTAGCAAATCCTTGAAATCAGTGGCTAATTATTCTACAATACAGGATGCTATGATTAGGCTAGCTGAACTCCACTGTAAGTACCTAGCAGAATGAACTCATAGGAGAAATGTCTTTAGGCTCGTGTGGGGGAAAAAGTCACAACTAAATTAACAGCAAGTTACTGAACAACCAGAAGAGCTAGGTTTCTGGTGCTTGAACACAACAAAAGAGAAAATAGTGTGTTATGAAGAACAGAGCATGTGCTATAAAGGTAAAGGGACCCCTGACCGTTAGGTCCAGTCGCGGATGACTTTGGGGTTGCGGTGCTCATCTCGCTTTATTGGCTGAGGTAGCTGGGTCATGTGGCGAAACAGAGCAGTGCACGGAAATGCTGTTTAACTTCCTGCTGGAACGGTACCTATTTATCTACTAGCACTTTGATGTGCTTTTGAACTGCTAGGTTGGCAGGAGCAAGGGGAGCTCACCCCGTCGCGGGGATTTGAACCGCCAACCTTCTGATTGGCAAGCCCTAGCCTCTGTGGTTTAGACCACAGCACCAACCGCGTCCCTGAGTATGTGCTATAGAAGCTGGCAATTTAACCTGGAAATAAACTGATCATTGAAAGCATAACTCATCAGTTGGGAGTTCACTTCTCTGGATTACTAAACCAAAAGGGATAAGTTAGTCCACTAGTTATTTTTCTTCTGTATACAGACAAAAAGATGGCAAAAGATGGACTCAAAAATGCATTTTAAGGTGCTGGAAGAAAATGTTTGCTAAATACAAGTTTGAGACACTGATCCTCAACTGTGAAAATAAAGAAGTTTTGGAGCACCCTTTCTTACTGCATGCATAGACAGGGGATAGGCTGGCATTTTGCTCCATGCTACGCAAGGGCAGAGAGGAGTTTACATCTCCCCAGGGAACTCAGCATCTCCCTATGGAAGGTGCCATGTACAACATTTTTTTGTGCAGTTATTTCTAAAAATGCTTGAAGCTATTTCCAAAATGCCCTACTCCTGTTTGGCTGAATTTGGTTATTAAAAAAATAAATACTGTTCTCTCCTACCCTCACATCATCAATGAAGACTGCACCCCCAATGCAGTCTGATCCTTTCACAGTTTTTTGATACAAAACTGGAATTCTGGCATCGAGCAGTTTGCAGAGGTCAGTGTGGAGTCTACTGTTTTGAATGTATTCTGCTCCCTGCACACACACATGTATGCACACTCTCTCGCACACACTCCTATAATCATGCACCAGGCAAGATTGAAAAAACAAATGTTTCAGGTACATTCTGACAGGACATTAAATTAATGACAGGCTCCAGACCAATATCCATTATAAAGGAGTTGCCGAAAAATATTTTATGATGAGAGCACAACTTCCCATAACCAGTCATGGTTGTCCCATTTACTTCAGAGCTCTTCACACAACATAATATAAAATGCTACCCGTGAAGTAAGGAGCATGAATTAATATGACTTACAAGTTCTAATAACTTACAAGTTCTAAGTCCACATCAATGTAAATAAGGAGCATGGGACAGCAGACAGGGCTGGTTTGCATCAACTCCAACCCCACATATCCACTTTATCCAGCCCACAGAGGAGGGTGTTGGCAGGATGTGGCAGTGCCACTAATAGGAAGGGGCAAGGCTTCACCATCCTTACACTGGGCCCATTTTTCTCTTGGCAGACAGGCAGATACTGAAGCAAAAGAGGCCTTTTCAAAAATAAGCAACTGAAACATAGGGAAGCCTGAAAAGCACAAAGGCCAGTGCTTCTGATGAGTCATGGACCTGTTTTAAGACGCGATTTCTTTAAAATTTGCACACTAATTAATTGCCTATATTAAGAACATTATAGGGCCTTGTATAATGTTCTGAACATTATAGGGCCTTGTACATGTGCTGTGGGGTTTTGGGGGGGAGGGAACTGGAGGATTTTTGCATTTTCAAAAATTTGGAAGCTTCATATGTGCATTAAAATATTACAATGAAGTATTTTGCATGCTCCCATCATTGAAAGAGGGGAGTGTTTCTCCCACTGCAAATGGCAAGTGTGAGGGAGGTTAGGACAGTGGTTGGGGTTAGAGAGTTATGATCCCCTTCTTCCATGCCTGTTCCAAAAGAGGCTACCCCCCACCCCAAATATGGGGGAGGGAATCAACGATGCAAGAGTAAACTATGTGACAAACATCACCTCTAGTTTGACTCTTAAGTAAGTAAATTATAACTATTAAGCACAAAAGCATGGTTTCTTTATGCAGCTGCTTCAGGCACAAGTTCAAGTTTCTAGCATTAGAACTAAATGCTTTAAGCCAAGCTGTGTTTGTTTCAAAGCAAAATTCACATTTCAATGTTTATGCTATCCCTAGGAATTCTCCACTAAATACACCCTCACACTAGAGAGGAGGGTGTTATCACTCATCACTCTGATTCCTATTTGGGCTGAAGCAATCTGTTCTTTCACTTTCCATAATTGCTAACATGTCTGACTTGGCTATAATTACTGCCACTATTGTTACAACATTTGCTCAGGCTTAGCCGTCTGGCCCCTTCATCAGTAGTTGGACAGGCCTGTTATTAGCCTCTCTCTATTATAATCCACATTAGAAGGAGGTTTGAAACCACTGCTGCTCTCCTTTGCATTCAAGGAGTCACAGTATTCTCAGTAGACACAGAAAGCCAGCTTCAGAGATAAACAGCTAAACAGCTGCCTGATTGTGTGTGTGTACACACACACACACACACACAAATGTATACATAAACATCAAGAAATACATGCATTAGTCGAGCTCTGAATCCTTTGTAATGGCTATCATCCAACACAGGCTCCCTTTGGGAGTAACTGCCACATAGCTTTTCCTTTTCCTTTTCAGCATTACAAATGCCTTCACATTTCATCCGCATCAATACACTCGAGCTCCAATGCACTATATATTCTGCACATGGAGATCAGGTGTGAAAGATGGGTCATTGGATTTGCAAACACTAGAGATAAAGGGAAGGAGTGTGTGTTAGCCCCCCCCCCCCCCATGATCAGTTTCTGAATACAGTATACCATTAATACCTTGGGTTGTATGCAACTCACCCTTGAACGTGCCCACATTAGAGCTTGACTTTCTGGTGTGAAAGTTAGGATGAACTGCATGTATCACATCCCTTGGGCAACGAGAAGCAGGTGTAGGCTAAGCATCTTAGGGTGCACCTCATCTGATATACTATCCCATCTTTCATTCTGCACCTGTTTCTCTTCCTTGCCACTTAAGCAAGATTGCATATTTTCATTTCTCCCTATGTACCAATCCCCATCAGTTTCCATCTCACATAGTGATATTTGGAAGTAACGAGAAATGCCCCCTCCCCTCCTTTTGGCACACTAGAGCAGTTACTGATGTAAGATTGCAAAGCGTTCTTTGCAAAATATTCTTTTTATTTTTAACCATTTGCCTGGCCCAACTATAAGAAATCACAGTCAATTAAAGTGCATGGCAAGAGCAATACCAGGCCACTGAGGGACAAACCAAGGACAAACATCCGCAAAAGAGCTTTGAAAAAGACCTGAAATGGAGAGGTGAAAGTGACACAGTCACTACTAGGATGCACTGTAAAGTGAGGCTTCCTTTAGCAAGGAGACACTCTCTCTAGCCCAGAGTCACCTTCAAGTCTCACGAGGCTTGTCATTTGACCCCTACCCTGTCAACACACCATGTGAGACACGCCAAGCAGCCCATCTCCTCGGAGCAGGCCCTGCGCCACTTGACGCAACTCAAAGCGGCACTGCGTCGCCGAGACCAGCGCCGCCTAATTTTCCAGGGGAAGGTGCGCGCACCATTCTCACCGGGTGCCCAGCAGCTCTCTAAAGGCAGCAAAGCCCCTGTGGGTGGGGGACGCTTCCGCCCCTTCCTTCCACAGTACCGAAGTGCTTCTTCAGTGCCCGGAGCTGCACACAACCTCCCCAGAGGCCACAGGCTCTGGGAAGCCTTGGTCCGGTGCACCTTCCTGCCCCATGGAGCTGCGCAGCGACAGAAAGGTGAAGCAGTCGTAAACAAATCCGGACTTGCCTCCTTCCCTCGAAGTTATGGGCTGCGCCTGGAAAACCCCCCAGGACAGCTGCGTGCGTGTGCTTTGCACACCTGGAAGGGGGGGGGGACACGGGCGCAAGGCCCACCCCCCACCCATGGCAGACGGGGAGCAGCAGCAGGAGGAGGAAGGGGCCGGAGACCCGCCGCGCCCCCCTCGAGGCAGCTGTCCCCGCCGCCGCCTCCCTCGCCCCCCTGCCCCCGTCGCCGCCCCCCGCCTGACCTGTAGGCGCTGCAGGTAAGAGGCCGGCACGTAGCCCGTCTCCCCGGAGCCCGCCCGGGTCACCAGCCACCAGTGCTGGTTGCTCCGCTCCAGCAGCAGGAAGGTCTCTCCGGCGCCGAAGGCCAGGGAGCTGGGCTCGGCCGAGCGGAAGCCGTACAGGGCCCGGTACATGGCGGCCGTGAAGGTGGGGTGGGGGGGAAACACTACAGGGCAGCGGACCCGAAGGGGACCCTCCGGTCAAGTGCCAGCGCCGCCTCCTCCGCCGCTGCCGCCGGCTCCCGATGCAAAACACGGCTCCCCAGGCTCCGCCCCCGCCCCGGGCTACGTCACCCTCGCCGGCGATGTCAGCGCGCAGCCACGCCCCCTGCCGGGCTCGCGGGGCTGCGGCGCCACCTGCTGGGCTGCCGCTCTATGAGGGAGGCGGGAAGCGCGGCCGGGGGCGGAAAGAGCAACAGCGCCTCAAGCGGCTGCTGCTGCTCCTGCTGTTGTTATTGGGTCAAGTTGTCGTCCCTCGCCCCGCCTTGGGGGAACGTCTCCGGCGCCCCTCTATACTAAAATGCTCTCACGCTGCATTTTCCCTTAGTTTTATTCTTATTAGAAATAGTAGAATAAGAATAAGAATTCTATTATTTCTACCCCACCCATCTGGCTGGGGTTTCCCCACCCTGGCTGGGTGGCTTACAGCAAATATAAAACCATAGTGTGGTTTTATATATATTTGTGTGTGCACCCTCATTTTTCACTCATGGGTCTCAAGGTAACTTACAGGGGTTTTTTTAACTGCCAAAAAAGCCCCCCACTCATTAAAAAACGAACATAGGTAGATAGATATTCTATTAAAAGCATACAATCACAACAACAAAAAAGCTCTTACAGGCCTTTCTTTCCTGATGCATCCACAATAACTACACATTGAGGAGAGTAGTTTCACCACCAAATTTCACTGCAGCTAGTCTAACCCAGGCATGGAGGCAGTAGAGAGAAGAGTTTGAACTCTTGTCTGGTTCTTGCTCTGAAGAGAGAGGAAGAAAATCACAAAGTAAAGCTGTCTTATTGCCTTACTGGAGACAAGGGGCGAGAAGGACATGTCTCTTGGCCTAATCACTGGCTGTACTCTGGAGGAGATATTTTAAGGCACTGGATGAATACTGTATACCTGAACAAAATGAAACAGTGGGACACTGTCAAGTTCTTTATGAGGGAACATGGTGCTGAAGGCAGATGCTTATGTTGCTGTGTTAAGGACTCTAGCATCAACCTGTAATTTTAGGGTGACTCATCAGCAGCTGTTGCGAGAAACCAGTTTAACACTACATCGCTGCCTGGATGTACGCAGGTCAGCAGAACTTTCTAAAGCAAGAATTAGAATATTAGCAGGCACCCAAGAGACACAGGTGCATGCTGTCCAATATAAATAGGATGTGCCACCTAATGGAGGAGCATGCAGGAGACAATGCCTGTATTGCGGGAAACAACATGTAAAGAGAAAAGAATAATGCCTAGCATATGGACAGCACTGCAAAGCATGTGGCAAGTTTTCAAAGCTAGTGCAGGAAGGTGAAATCTCAGAGACAGACAGTGAAAGCAGCACAGGAAGACAGTGATGAATCTAAGCACTGGGATGATGTCCTAAGCTGACTTTGGGATCACCATTAGTGAGAAATACTGGGGCAGTGGAGATCAGTACCCACCCCTACTGCACTCTTTGCTCATATGCTTTTGACCAAAATTTTTTTCCCTTTCAGCTGCAATCTGCTGCCAGTGACACTGGTTAATGTAAAGACATACTGTACATTGAACTGTGTCACCAGCTGCTTATTATGTACAACAAGACTACAGTGGTACTTCGGGTTACATACGCTTCAGGTTACATACGCTTCAGGTTACAGACTCCGCTAACCCAGAAATAGTACCTCAGGTTAAGAACTTTGCTTCAGGATGAGAACAGAAATCGTGCTCTGGCGGCCTGGCAGCAGCAGGAGGCCCCATTAGCTAAAGTGGTGGTTCAGGTTAAGAACAGTTTCAGGTTAAGAACGGACCTCCAGAACAAATTAAGTATTTAACCTGAGGTACCACTGTATCCTGAAACCTGCGGGCAAGTGCAGACGTCTTCTTTTTTTACATTCGAGAGGCATATCAATTTTATGAAATAAATAAGTAAAGGAATTGCAAACAAATTGGAACAATTAGATGTAAATCCACTGTAAAAATACAAAGGTTTTTTTGTTTTGTTTTTACAGTCTGTAGTGGGCCAAGGCTTGTTTGTTTGTTTGTTGCTGGCTATTATGTTGAAAAAAGCTCCGGAGTGCCAGTTCTCACACACTCCCTTTTGGCTCTGCCTGCACAGTTTTCTAACATCCTGGAAGTGATGCTAGCCAGGCGGAAAGCAGAGATTGCTCCCTTCACTGTTGCCAGGAGTGGGGAGAGGATGAATGAGGACAAGGGAATGAGAGGGGAGGCTGGGTATTGCCTGCAGGCATCTCTAGCGTAAGCAATGTGGTCGCTTTCAAACATTTAAATGTTCAGTCACCTTATACTTGAGAGAAACTGTCACCTTCAAGATGCACCTTTATTAAGGTACTGTACTATGTAAATGCATGCAAAACAGAACTGATTAGACACTTGCCAAGTTTTCTTTATTTTTTAAACAGAACACAGAGTTCTATTCATTTAAAGCATCTAAAATTGGTATGACAATCCCAGTGAAAATGAACCGTACGGAGCACATATCTTCTTTCACTCTCCGCTACCTGACAAGGACAGAGAGAGAGGCACAGTAAGACTGAAAGGCTGATAATGGAAAACAGAGAATAAAAGGAACTGTTTCAAGGAGGCTTGTCTATGACAGTCTTTTTCATGAGTTATGGCAGAGGCAAGAAAGCAGAACGATCCAACAGAGCTTGGGAGCTACACAAGTAAAAACACCGGGGGGGGGGGGGATTGAGAGTTGTATCTAACAAGGCCCTAGTCACAGTAGAGACATTAAAATTAATTCTAGGACTAACCGCAGCCCCAACTGCATGAATGCCCCACGAATACTTTTTTTTTAGACCTGTAAATAAAAGAGGCTTCCATGTATTATTCAAGCCATACCCACATTTAAAGCACATTGCTTCTCCCAAAGAATCCTGTGAAGTGTAGTTTGTTAAGGTGCTGAGAATTGTAAATCTATGAGAGGTAAACTGCAGTTGCTATGATTTATTTTATTTGTTTGAGGGAGCCAGGTGCTTCAAATGGGCTTTAAATGTATGGTATGGATGTAACCTTATCAGTCTCTGAATTGAGATTGAAAGCTGGCTCTTGAGTCCTCACAGAGTGTTATAGCTCCAAGTACAGAGCTCCAAGGACAAAGGACTGTTAGATTGCCACAAGTGGAACCTGCAACGAAGTGTTGCAGCATGGAGCTCTCCTGCTGAGAATTCCAACCAGCCAGCCATTCCCCCCTTCCCGGATACTCAATGTCATTTCCACTCCCACTGAGTTTTTCCTTTTCTGAGCTTCCTTCCCTCCCCGACCAAAATCAACCAGCATTCTGTGGCTTCAGAGAGTCCTCATAAGTCTTTTGCAGAGTTCCCATTGTAATTTTTTCGTAGGCAGTTGTTTGTACTTTTGCAAACCTTGGGGTTCCTCCAAGATTGCTGATAACTCTCGTGTTTGTGTGTCTGGTCTCTCGGTCTCTCTCTCTCTCTCTCTCTCTCTCTCTCTCTCTCTCTGTGTGTGTGTGTGTGTGTGTGGCTAACAATATCCATGAAGCTTTAGTTCAGCAAAAGGTCAGTAGAGGGCGATCGGAGCTTGCAAAACAGAGCTCTTTCGCTATCCAATTCCTTCGTAAATTACCAAATATAGAAAAGCCCTCGAGCTCTGCCTTCTGCTTTCTTTGAACTGTTTTGTTTTGATTTCGGAAGTCATGGTTTACTGTTATTCCCTACCAGCTAAAAATAAAAATATAAAAATGCACAGATCTAGAACAGTGTGGCAACATGCTGTGGCATGATCTTTTGCAGGCAATGGCCTAATTTGCCAGCTTTCGGGTGTGTGAGATTTTCACCCCAAACAGATATGGATTAAATCTAGTGGTAGATGACTGAAAGGAGGGTGGAGAGCAGAGTGGCTGAAACTAGGAAGCAGGAGTCTGGTGAGCAAAAAAGTAAGATGGCCAAGAAAGCACAAATGAGGTGAAAGCTAGCTTTCCCAGAAGGAGACCAGAAATAAACAGGTACCTCCCTCCCTCCTTGTAAGAAGAGCCTGCTGGATCAGACCAAAGGCCCATCTGGTCCAGCATCCTGTTCTCACTGTGGCCAGCTAGATGCCCATGGGATGCTCACCAGCAGAACCTGAATGCTACAGCACTCTCCCTTCTTGTGATTCCCAGAAAGAGGTCTTCAGAAGCATACTCCCGTCAGCAGTGGAGGCAGAATGTCGCTAATATGGCTTGTAGTCAGTGAGAGCCTTATTATCCATGAATTTGTCCAGTCATAGGAACACACCCTGCCAATGCACATAGCACTAAAATGGAACCCCCAAGAACTTTACACAAGCCCCCCTCCCCCGGCCAATTTTGCCAAATCATGGACTGACGGATGGTAAGCAAAATACATATTGGACAATTCCCATTGATTCTGCCTGATTACTCAGTCATGGTGACCTGGCCCCAAACCAAGAAAGGACTGAGGGGATCTGATAAACAGGTCTCAGTCATCTCCCAGGAAAACACAAGAGTTGAGACTTTTTACACTAGATGTTTCCCGGCCAACAGGTTGTGCCTAACCCAGCTGAGAAAGTCATCTTCTTGATCTTGTATGTCTTTCTCACATTCATACTCCCCCCATTCCTCCAACAAGCCCAAGGTGCCATACATGCTTCTCCCTCTCCCCATTTTATCTTCACAACAACCCTGTGAAGCGGGTTTGGCTGAGAGACAGTGACTGGCCCAAGGTCATCCTCAGTGAGCTTCATGACTGAGCGGGGATTCAAACCCTGGTTTTCTAGGTCATAGCCCAACAGTCTCAGCATTACACTACACCAGGGGTCTGCAACTTTTAAGACAAAAAGAGCCACTTGGACCCGTTTCCGAAGAAAAAAAAACTGGGAGCGGCAAAACTCGTCATTATAAAAATAACTTTTTTGTCACTTTTTAAAATTATTTCTTTGTTTGACCCCTCAGAATTACTCTTCCTCATAGAAATAAACGTTAAATTAACAAGTTACCTTTGTGTGTGTGTGTGTGTTCTTCACTCCCCTTCAAAACAGTGACCAGCATACATGCCCCCTTTCAATGCAGTGACCAGCGTACATGCCCCTTACAATGT